AAATTGATGCAAGTTCACCAAGCCTCCAGACAGACTGATTTATCAGGGAAAATGTTTCTCCCAGCCAGGATGTTAACTATGGAAAGAACCTGCTCAGGGGATCAATAATTAGAATAGTCATTTCTGCTCAGATATTAAATACGTGTTTTATTATAAGAGCTATGTTTACCTTTAGAATATAACACATAGGATTTTTTATCAATTCCTTTGGATGATATAGTGCCTGTATAAAATAGTATTTATTGATATGCTTTCCAGCTTCACTGAGGTACAATTGACAAAAAAAAATCTATTTAAGGCATAAAGCATGAGACTATAGTGTGTGTATACACAAGAGAATGATTACTACAATCAAGTTAGTTGACATATCCATAACCTCACATGCTTACTTCACTTTGTATATGTGATGAGAATACTTAAGATCCACTGAATTAGCAAATTTAAGTACACAATTAATACATTGCTAATATTTACCATCACTATGATCAACACTGGATCTTCCGAATGTATTCATTTGATAATTTTTGACCAATGTCTACTCATTTTACACTGTCCCAGGCTCCTGATTAACATCCTTCTCTACTTCTGTGAATTTTATCTCATTCATAATTATATCTGTCTTTATATAATTTGCTAATGTTGAATTCCACTTCTAGAATGTAAACTCAATGAAAGGAAGGAATTTAGAACATCCACAATATCACCAGGGCCTATGAAAAGTTTTGAACATGTTAATAATCCATTATATTTTTATATAATGACTTAATTTGCATCAATTTTGGTGATTCTTACAAAATAATCTATGAATCAATGATTGAGAAATTTTGATTTAGGAAAATATTGACCTATCTTATTTCTCTATGAGGTACAGTGAGAAGAATTCCAGTCTACTTTATCAAGCAATTGTATTTTTTTAGAAAATTTAAACTCACAGATATTTAAGTAATACAAGTACAGTATGCCTGAAATCCAGAAATTTGTTATTTTATGTCAATCAAAACAATGACCTTTTTCTAGTTTGTTTATTGTTGGGTATTTTTCTTAATCATTTTGTTTGAAGTGAAAATCAAAGCTATTATTTTTAATAGGAAAATTCAGATACTTTGGCATCCCTGTGCCAACGTGACTTTAATGGCACAAAAATGGGCATTTTCTGTGCTCCTCACATAAGTGTCAGACTGCCAAGATGAGACAATGACAGATTGATGTGCCATGCCATTTCAGGAAAATGTGGTCTCTCTTTTCAATGGGTCCAAGGGCTTGTAGTAATTTGGTTATTGAAATATGTGTGCCAGTATAGAAGCATTACCTGAATCAGAGGTGGAGAAAAATACCACCACTAAGATCAGCCAGTAGCTAGCAACTGTCGTCATGTCATGGTACTGCCAGGACAGGAGAGAGATTATCCCTCTTATGTTCTGCCCCGAGATGCAGTGGGCACAAAGGCATCAAAGCTGATCTTTATCAAGCTCACATCCAGAATCTTACCAGGAGGAGAGGGTGGCAATGTTCAACCTGATACAGAATCTTCCAAAGATGTACAAACAAATAGGCTGACATGGAAGTACAAGTTCCAAGCCTCTTCTGCATTCTCTATTGACACATCAAACTTAAAATTACGAACTCAAAGGCAAATGTAGTAAGAATCACAAAATAGCAACTACAGAGTGAGTACAAGTTTCTTGGTGTGAGTTCCTGTGTGACTGCCCCAATAAACAATTATGAACCTATCCCTGTAGCCTTTCAGTCCATTACTCAATAAGTGCTGAAGATCATATGATGCAAAATGATAAGAACCTGCTAGGAGAGCAAATTTCGTCATGCTAAGATAATTTATCAATAATGTGTTTGCCACGGCTCAATAGGCTAATCCTCTGCCTTGCTGCGCCAGCACCCTGGGTTCTAGTCCCGGTTGGGGCGCCGGATTCTGTCCCAGTTGCCCCTCTTCCAGTCCAGCTCTCTGCTGTGGCCCGGGAGTGCAGTGGAGGATGGCCCAAGTCCTTGGGCCCTGCACCCGCATGGGAGACCAGGAGAAGCACCTGGCTCCCAGCTTCGGATCAGCACGGTGCGCCTGCTGCAGCGGCCTTTGGAGGGTGAACCAACGGTAAAGGAAGACCTTTCTCTCTGTCTCTCTCTCACTGTCCACTCTGCCTGTCAAAAATAAAAAAAATTAAAAAAATAATGTATTTGATATGGCATCACTCATCCAGATAGCATTCACATTGTATGCAAGAATAAAATTTGGCAAGAGTGAAATAAAAAGTATAGTGTTCTTATTAAAAATAGTACATCTGTTGGCCTATAAAGGTCCTGGTGAATAATTTATTAGACAGATGCTGTAATCACTGAGATTACTTTTGTATGGCTTTTTGACTGTAAAAGGTAGCCAAATCTTCAAAACTGCTCGCATTCAATTTGACATGTCTTCCTTAAGTCATTCATAGGTCCCCAAGGGACAGAACTATCATAACACAATGACGATCTGCAAGATTATGATTCTACAGTAGAGGATTTGGAAGTTCAGATACACATGCCTAAGGGGATTTAAGGCTGGTCACAAAGTCCTTAAATTACTCCCTACAATCAAATACTCTTTTAAAAATGGCCTTGGCTTATATTAGAGATCTAGACTCAATTTTTAGTGTGTAATCCAAGTGACATCGCTTCAGCAATGATTATCTGTAAGAATAAAGCATTTGAATAAGACTGAGCGGAAAAAAAAAGTCCAAGAAATTCTTTAATGTTACTTAAATATTCTATTCTAGTTATTCAATAGGAATGTAAATGACCTCAACCATATATCATTTTGATTTTCTTTTGTTTTTAAAAGATGTTGATATGATTTTATTGTCTGTCTTTTCAGTACCAAAGCCAATGTAACAGATATCGCCACTGCAAAAGAGGTTTTGAAGAAGAAAATAAAAGTAAATTGGAGGGTAGGAAAACAGGCAAAAAGGCTTGGGTTTTCATTTTCTTGGAGTTTAAGTGCTTATCAAAATGTTTTGAGAAACATTTATTTATAAGTCAGAAAGTGATTCCAATAAAAGTATAGATCTAATAGAAATATAAACTTTCCATATTATTTTCTTACCTAATAAATCTTCATGGAAATATAGTTATACTGAGTCTTTATTAAGTATTTTTATAATAAAATACATATTAGAAATTTAACTCTGTAGATATGAAATTTGTTTACCTTATATACATTTAAAAATTTAAAAAATAGGCAACATGTTAACTAAATATTTATGTCTAAATGGATAAAAGAAAAATATTCTGCATTGAAATGTGTGTGTGCCCTCATATGCATACACTTACATTTTTATGCAGAATTTTCCAACTATCAAATGTATCTTATGTATCTTTTTTTAAGATTTATTTATTTATTTGAAAGGTAGTGTTACAGAGAGGCAGAAGCTGAGAAAGAGAGAGAGGTCTTCCACCTGCTGGTTCACTCCCCAAATGGCCCCAATGACCGGAGCTGGACCAATCTGAAGCAAGGAGCCAGAAGCTTTTTCTGTATCTCCCATGCAGGTGCAGGGACCCAAGGACAACTCATCTTCTCCTGCTTTCCCAGGCCATAGCAGAGAGCTGGATCAGAAGTGGAGCAGCCAGGACTTGAACTGATGCCCATATCGGATGCCTGCACTACAGACCGGGGCTTTAACCCGCTGCACTGCAGCACCAGACCCTCAAATATATCTTAATTTTTCACTGGATACAATGTACATGAATAACTGAAAGCTCAAATAATGAATAATATAATAAGCACAGATTTTTGGCATTAAGTACAAGGTAATGGAAAATGTAATATTTTTGTTAATATTAAAATTAACAATAAATAAAGATTAAATGCTCAACATTGCATTTTGGCATATGAAAACATGATGTTCTGTGAAGATACATTACTCACATATTGATTATAAGAGTAAATTATTTTAGACTGAGAGAGAGATTTATGGAAATAATTATATTGAGTTATTTTGGAAAAAGCCTGCTAGAATTTATTCGGTTATTATAGTAGTATCAATGGGAAGCAAACATTCTGATTATTAAAAAAAAACAACCATACATGTTTGATTTGAGGAAAGTGAAGTCAAAACACTTAACTGACTCATTATTGGATCACTGCTCATTAGTGAAGAACAATGGATATAATCTTTCTCTTATGAAGTCTACCTAGAGGATCTTTCTCTAAAATAATTTAGTTTCTAAGCTAAAGTATCCTCAATTATTTTCCATCACAATAAGTGATAGCATGGAATTGTTTAATCCCACCTTTAGAGAGAGAGAGACAGAGAAAAAGGTCTTCCTTCCATTGGTTCACTCCCCAAATGGCCGCTATATCCAGAGCTACACCGATCCGAAGCCAGGAGCCAGGTGCTTCCTCCTGGTCTCCAACATGGGTGCAGGGGCCCAAGTCTTGGGCCATCCTCCACTGCCTTCCTGGGCCACAGCAGAGAGCTGGACTGTAAGAGGAGCAATTGGGTCTAGAACCCGGCACCCATATGGGATGCCAGTGCCACAGGCGGAGGATTAACCTAGTGTGCCACTGTGCCAGCCCCTACATTATCTCTTATGTTGTTGCTTCCCTCTTATGAGGACCTAGTGACAATATAGTATCTACCTATATAATCTGGGCAATTTCTTCCATCTCAAGATCCTTACCTAAATTTTATCTTTAAGGTTCTCTTTGTTGTTAAGTTGCATTTGCAGAGTCACTTGGAATACAATTCATATATTTTTGTGGGTATGTTGCTCTCCTTATCCTATAAAGTGTATTCTGTGACTTATATTACATATTATACACACAGAAATAGTTAAATATCTGTTACATACATATTCTTACAAGACACTGCCCATCTTTATTTTGTTTCCAAGCCCCAGAATCATACTCACTCACACTGAGTTTACAACAATCAAATATTTGATGCAGGAAATTTAATAAAAAGCTTACTTTACTTAAAGATAGCAAGAACTTTTTAAAAATATTTACTTACTCATTTTCAAAGTCCAATTACAAAGAGAGAGAGGAATAGACAAAGCGAAAGAAAAAGATCTTCCAACTGCTTGTTCGCTTACAGATGACCATAATGGACAGCACTGGGCCAGGCCAAAACCAGAAGCCAGGATCTTCATTCAGGTCTCCTAGATGAGTTCAGGGGCCTAAGCTCATGAGCCATCTTGCACTGCTTTCTCAGGCCATTAGCAGGGAGCAGGATCAAAAGTGAAGCAGCCAGGACATGAACCAACACCCATGTGAAGATGCCAACATTGCAGGTGGTGACATTACCCATTATGCCACAATGCCAGCACCAACAAGGAATACGCATGCATAAAGGCTAACTATGAGTATTATTGGGACATCAAACATCATAAAATGTTTCAAATACCATTCAGTTCAGCACAGAGATGTGGAAATGTTGTGACTGTGCTTAGTGCTTTAGCTTTCAAAACGAGTAGGAAGAGAATGAGGAAACACACCCTCATAAGGAACTGAAATCATCATGGAATAAAGGTTGGGGAGACTGACAGGCCGAAAACCCTGACAGTACCACTGGTCCCACCAAATGAAGACTGTTGTTGAAGACAATGATTCCAGATCATACATGTGTCTTAGGCCCTAAATCCCTAGAAGAAATATGGATCACAAACAAACGGAAAGGAAGAAAGGGGTGTTACACATTACTGTTTAAGGATAGCACGTTTGAATCAACTGTGCTTCTCCTAAAGGAAGGAGACAAGGATTGCATAACCTGTCAATGGTAAAACCAGGATGTTAATCCAAGTGCATAATAACCAAAAGACTCAACTATTCTGTTCTCCCCACATAAATTCACTCATAAACTTTTTATCTTGTAATTATAGTATTTCACACACAACAACTTACATATAATTGCATCCTTTCCTTTAATCCCTAAGTACTGAAAATTTGAAGTTTACTCTAGTAAAACCTCCCTATACCACACGTACAGTTCTCCTCCTTTTCTTACTTATTCAATTCTCGTTGTATCTTCAAATCACTTCAAAACATGTGCACTCTCTTCTTACTAGACAGCTACTTGCAAACTGAAAAGTGTGACACAAACTCTAAAAGGAAGAAATTATCGGTAAATTGAAAGAACTTGTTAGTTTAAAATCTATTTCCAAAACAAATCAGTCACAGGTACATGGGAGAAAACAGCATATGTCCAATCAAAGAAGGACAAATATGTATCATAAATTCTTTTTAACAGGACTAACAAAATCTCAGGCCACACAGTAACATCATGAAACCATTGATTGTTTAGGTATAGAGGGTTACAGAGTAATCTCAAGAAAACGTAGTCATAGATCCAAATAAGCTCTTTCTCTGACCTTGTTTGCCTGTTTATAAATACCTTACTATTCATTTAACTGATGCTAATTTTAAAAAAAAGGTTTCAATATAAATTTACAGAGTAGATATCATGGTTCCAACAATACAAAGGGAAAAGCGGAAATGGACTTGACTGACTGGATTTTATCAGTCAGGTTTTTAACTCAGCAAATATCTGCTTAATAAATGTCTTCCCTAGTGATCTTACCAATCAGTAACAATGTTTTCATCAATCTGCAGCATGCACTTCTGTTTTCTTTTCTTTGTTTTTTTTTTTTTTAATTTTTTGTGAGGGTGGGGGTGAGGGTATGCTCTGTCTTACAATAAAAATGTATGATGCTTTAGATTCTTTTATAAGATTTATTTTATTCACTTGAAAGACAAGAGTTAGAGAGAGAGGTAGAGAGAGAGAGAGAGAGAGAGAGAGAGAGAGAGTCTTCCATCCGCTGGTTCACTCCCTAGATGGTCGCAATGGCCGGCCGGAGCTGCGCTGATCCGAAGCCAGGAGCCAGGAGCTTCTTCTGGGTCTCCCACGTGTGTGTAGGGGCCTAAGAACTTGGCCCATCTTCCACTGCTATCCCAGGCCACAGCAGAGAGCTGAAAGGGAAGAGGAGCAGCCGGGCCTAGAACCGGCGCCCATATGGGATGCCCGCTCTTCAGGCCAGGGCTTTAACCTTCTGCGCCACAGCGCCAGCTGTGATACTTTCGATTTCAGAGAATTTGTCTTGTTTCCTTCTTTGTCACTGGAAGCAAGAATGATACTTGGCACATAATTGGCAACAAGCAATGATTATGGAACAATCAAACAAATTTGGAGAGCACTAGTTTGCCCAAAGATGAAAGAGCCATGATGCAAATAAACCCAGTTCTTCAGGAGTCAAAATCAACTATCTTAATTCTGAGTAACATGACCTCTCAATGAACAAGGTTATTGATTTCCTCTCATCCTAAAATACAGTCTCTAAATACTAAACAATTTTGTTCGGAACAAGCCTATCCTTCCAATCTGAGGCATTACTGGAAATTCTCATGTGTAGGATAGGCACATCATCTGAGTAGACTGTGTTTGGGTGGGGAAGGTAAATTGGCTTTAAGCTATGCTTCTTTGTAACCCTGATTAGACAGACTCACAGTGGGGCATCTGTCTCTTCCCTAGCATATTCAGCTGCTGCCATACTTGAGTGCTCCCAGGCCAGAACAATTTAATAAATGTGAGATACACACTAAAACAAGAAGTCATTAAGCACTTTGAGATATTTTATTTAATTATAAACTTAATTTCAACTTAAATTTGTGATGTTCTTAAAGCAATTAAAACAAGGATAACTTGCGTTACAAATGGTCAGAATGTAGAAATTAAAATGCAAAGGCAGGTTGCATAAGCTATAGCAATTAAGACATTGCTTAAGATTCTCTCATCCTACAGTGGAGTGTCTGGTTCAAGTTCTGGCTCTACTTCCAATTCCAGCTTGCTGCTAATGTGCCCTCTAATAGACAGAAGATGATTCCTCAAGTACTTTGGTTTCTGACACCCATGTGGGAGACTTAGATTGAGTTCCCAGCTCCTGGCTTTGACCTAACCCATCCATGGCTAGTGCAGATGTTTGGGAAGTAAACCTATAGATGCAAAGTCTCTCTGTGTCTGAATTTATCTGTCTATGTTTCAAAGAAAATAAAAATAAAATCAATAAATTTAAGAATAAAGATGCAATCGATGTACTATAGTTGGTGGGTAAGAACTAAAGAACTGGCTGGTGCCACGGCTCAATAGGCTAATCCTCCGCCTGCAGCACCAGCACACTGGCTTCTAGTCCTAGTTGGGGCGCCAGATTCTGTCCCGGTTGCCCGGGAGTGCAGTGGAGGATGGCCCAAGTGCTTGGGCCCTGCACCCCATGGGAGACCAGGAGAAGCACCTGGCTCCTGCCTTCAGATCAGCACAGTGTGCCTGGAGGGTGAACCAACAGCAAAGGAAGACCTTTCTGTCTGTCTGTCTCTCTCTCTCTCACTGTCCACTCTGCCTGTCAGAAAAAAAACAAACAAACAAACAAAAAAAAACAACTGAGTTCTTTTGTGTGCCAAATATGCATACAGATGTTTATTAAGGATGCATTGTTTTCACCACCATTGGAAAAGTAAGTGCTATATTACATTGATCTAACAATAATTTCCTACTCTTGATGGGAAAAAATAGCCCAAACATGATGTTTTTGCTGATTTTAATTGCCAACCAGAATATGTATTTCCAATATATGATTTTGCTGAATAATTAGCTTCACAACTACATTAGAAAGAAGACAAGTCTATTTCCATTACAATTTGTTGATTTGCAAATGTATTAATTAAGTCCAAGGAAGGACATTAATAAGATTGCCCATATCTGTTTTCTACTTTTAACTCATTCATTGAAATTACTGTTACTCATCAGTTTAATAAAATCCTTTAGTTCATAAAATGTATAGTTGCATCTGAATGACAGTTTGATGACCCTCAAGCTCTTTTTCCACATAATTTTGTTCAATCCCTCAATTCATAGCTGACCTTCCACAGATACTAATATATGTCCAGTTTGAATTTCAAATCTGAAGGTCATCTTTGTTTCTTCTACTGTTCATAGCCATACTCTAGCCAACTAGTTGCAAGATATTTTTTGGAAACTGAAATGTTCTCAAAAAATCTCAATTCTTTATTCTTTTCTGTTTCTATTTCTAATGCCCTAATTCATTCCTTCTTTCCTTCCTTCCTTCCTTCCTTCCTTCCTTCCTTCCATTCCACATTCCTCTTTTTTTCTTTCTTTTCTTCTTTTGTCATGTCTGAGATGCCTTGAGACTCAGGCCTATCAGGGTTTATCTGGTACAGCATTGTGTAAACTCCATGGCATGGGGACCCTCCTGCTACTGTGTGCATTCATTTGTTTTAACAGTCTCCAAACTTTATTTACAGTATAAGGGTGTCTTTGTCCTGTTTCTCCCAGCAGACTAAAAGCTGTTCACAGATATCCAATAAGTGTTATTATTTTTCTTATGATTAAACAAAAACATAAGAAAATTTGAAGATATAAAAAAACACTAAATATTAAATGAAAAAAAATCAATTTGTTCTCATTCTCTCATTCTCACTTTCTATAAACTATTCACCTTGTCCAGTGAATTAAATGTACCATTAATTTTAATGTATTATATATCCAGAAATGGAAGGAAAACAGTTCTAATTTTCTACATCTAACTTCACCTTGTCAGTTTTTCAAAGAGAAAGTCTTCACTGTGGGAGCAATTCATTATAGAAAGACCTAAGTATAAAGCACTCATAAAATTTAAATTTATAATATGAATTGCTGTTTCATAAAAAATTACTCTTCTGAAATAAAATTTCTCTGTGATGAAAGCAAGAAAAGAAAGGAGGGTAGTATGAATCAGATTAATGATAGAATCATGTTATATGCCAAAAAAGTTTTTTTTTAAATATTTGCTTATTTATTTTTTGGAAGTCAGAATTACACAGAGATAAGATAGGCAGTGAGAGAGAGGTCTCCATCTGATAGTTCACTTCCCAATTGGCCGCAATGGCTGGAGCTGTGCTGATCCAAAGCCAGGAGCCAGGAGTTCTTCTGGGTCTTCCAGGCAGGTGCAGGGGCCCAAGGACTTAAGCCATCCTCCAGTGCTTCCCAGGCCATCAGTCCATAGCAGGGAGCCAGATCAGAAGTGAAGCAACCGGGTCTTGAACCAACGCCCATATGAAATGCCGATGCTTCAGGCCAGGGCACCACAGCTCTGGCCCCCATAAAAGTTTTATGTGTTCAGGCCGGCGCTGTAGTGCACCAGGTTAATCTTCTGCTTGCGGCTCTGGCATCCCATATGGGCACCGGGTGCTAGTCCCAGTTGTTCTTCTTCCAGTCCAGC